ATTCAATTTTTTTCATATTTTGTATATCTCTTACTTAGTATGTCCTACATACCCTAAAGCAGATATATCTATATGTTTCTAGATTTATTTCTGAGATATTGGGTGACAAATACTATGCCCCACAGTGTCTGAGTGAAGTTTTGATTCTCCGTATTTCTGGGCCTATTGCGCGGTCCATAATGGAATTTTTTCAACCTAGATAAAAAATATGTCAGCGAACATGTGTCTTTTAAAATATTTCAGAGGATTAATAGAGTTAATAATTCGAAAAAGCAAGATTCTTTTGTCACACCGCATCTGAAGACGGAAAATTACGTTCTTTTTAAGACAGCTTAAACGACAAAAAAATCAATTAACAAAAAAACCTATCATTCAATATTTGAAAAATTACGTCGAAATGCAAGTTTGTCATGTTGTTGATTAACTGCAAAAATATGGATTGGTGAAGCTGAGCTCAATATTGCTCAGGGCAAAGTTAAACAAGACATAAGCATGAGAAAAACATGTCATGTTTACATTTCTCGAGTACGGGAAAACCCTATTATGACGTCCCACATTTGCGAATTAAGCTAAGTAAGACATAACTACAATATATTTCCGTCAACAACCATGCAAAAATATCTTTTGTGTTCTGTAATTCATAAAATATCCCACCATGTACTGATCATTACCCGTTTTTATGATATTATACAACCCGTGTTCTACCTTGTTTATAATTTTACTGTACTAAGATCCACTATGACGTCAGCGACTCGTTGGACGCGCAGTGTAGGGAAACAGAAGAGTGGATCAATCTATTCCGTAATTTGAAAATATTTGCGAGAAAGTTGGAATGTTTTTAGGTACTTTTCTATACAAGATGGTGAACTCAAACAAACAGCCATTTTTTTTCCAAATACTGTGGTTGCAATCTGGTATTGTGCATATTTTATAAGAGATTATGACGTAATTAAACTGAGTCACGTGACCATACATCCTTCGTCCCCTTAAAGAATAAAGGGAAATAAGATATTTAAGGAATTTTCTCCTCAATTAAATTATCTTAGACTTATTGCTCTGAATTCAAATAAACAAATTGCAGACGTTGTCCGGACTTTTTAATTTTCGCGGAACTGTTTACGTTTGCCTAGCAACTGCCCTGTGAATTGTCAACCCGACGTATTTAATATGCCGAATGATGGCACGTGAGGGAACACAACTGTGTTTGGGAGGGCAATATAACTGTTTCCCGTGAAATATAATTATATCCGGTGTGATTCAGCAGTTTTTCAGGGCATATGGATAAAAATATTTTATTTGTGATATAATGAGAAAACTTCTACAAAAATGTTATAAAATTATATTTTAAATGGATCCATTATACGTTTGCACATCTCTTATCTTCCTCAAAGAAGTTTCTCTTCACAGTCACAACATACTCTGCCATCTTGTGCGTATATTCTGGAAAGCACCAACTAGTCTTATGACACTGTTCTTATTCCGAAAACTTCTGAATTCACATGAAAAAGATCTTCAACAAATATAAAGAGTCATGATAAATTCTTGAACACATATAAAGTAAATAATTATACCTTCACTGATTCCACATAAATGTGACTCTCAGTTGCCAAATTATTTTTCTTCAAGGTTGATGGTTTCTTAAAGATTTCTTTCATTGCATGCAGTTTACTGCAGAACGGTTGGGATGGGGGAGAGGTCTAAGTGCTTTGTTTCATAAAAAATATTAAAATCATACCTAATTCAACAACATTTCATATTACTTATCATTATTAATAACCATCCAAGTAACATCCAAGCAGACACACAACATTGAATAAACTTTGAATCTACGTTGTTTATCTATGTTGATTCAACATTGATTTTATGTTAGATTTTGATAATTTGTATCATTGTTGAGGTGTTAACATTGAATAAACATTGATAATCAACGTTGTTTATGTGTTGAAAAACAGTTGATTCAACATTTATTCAATTATTTATTTTGGAAAGGGGGTGTCATATAGTAATAATACACTTACTTGATATTTCAACCGTTTTATTGCACGCTTGCTAAGATGCTTTCATAGCTGTTGAAGGGATAGCGACCCTCTGATAAAACAGATAACTTTCAAAGTACAAAATAGTAATACTACTCACAGTTTCCTGAGACCTCTGAGTAGTCAATTTGATGAGAATATACATATGATGGAAACATTACTTTCTATTTTTTTTTGCAAATTTCTTTGTAATTGTTTTATTAAATTTAACAATAAAACATTTAAACCCAACATCAAATGCCTTATAAATTGAAGAAGTTGTATTTCTTAAATACCATTTTAAAAAGGTTTAATATTTCAAGTACTTAATACAGTATTTTAATTAGAATTACTTTTTTTCACATGAAGAAATTTTTAGAAGAAAGATAACTCCTCATCACAGATATATTTTTTTTTCTTACAACCCCATCAAACATTGTGATTTTCTGACTTAAGAAACATCGCTCCATGATGTTTTCTAACATGATTTAAATAGATATAATAGTAAGTATTATTTTCAGATGCACCTCATATATCATATTTAATGTTGTGGTACATGTACACGTACATTAAATTTTTTCATGCCAAATTAAGAAAATCAATAATTTTGGTGTGAATTTTGAATAATGTTAAGGAACATATAAATTGAAACAAGCAAATTCAAAGAATTGTGGTCCTCTGCTTTCGTGTCTTTGTGGGTGAGATGACATTTTTTATGACATATTGTCTCAAATACGAACGCTTTATCATATGTTAAAAGGCAAGGTCAAAGTTCTTTGTATACCATGAAAGGTCTTCTTACAAGGATTACCTATGTGAAGTATGAAAACCCTATCCATTAGCATTGCATTCAAACGTCATGACCGAGGTTAAAGATTTTTCACAAGTACAGAAATCTTCAAGGTGAATGTCAGTAGGTCAAGGTTGTTGATATCCAATGAAAAGCCTTGTCATAAAGAATACATTTGTGAAATATGAAAGTCCTAGTATGTACATGTCGAAAGTTATGATAAAAAAAGTTCGAATTTTTTGTGTAAAAGTGGGTTAAAGTCAAGACGCCAAAGTTGGTAGTTATCAAAGAAAGGTATTGTCATAAGAAACACACATGAAGAATGAAAGTCATAGCTCCACTTAATCAAAAATTATGGGCAAAGTTTTTGTGAGGACGGACAGCTAGACAGACTGACGGACAGACAGACAGACAGACGAATGAGATTAATGTCCCTTCTCTTTTGCAAAAGCGGGGGACAATAACAGAAATAAGATAACTGAATAATGGGGGCGTATATATTCTTGTACTTCAGATAATAAAATTATACAATTTGTCATAAAGCAGCTATCTTTCTTTTCACCTCTTTTTTTCACTAAAAATTGTAATACCAATTATTATCTTATTTTCTTTAGACTGATATACTTACCAAATTTGTATTAATCGATGGACATTAAATACTGGTATAACAAAAATAAAGAAAATACAAAGGTTAATATTCGTGTCACATTCTACCTGGAAAATTAAAAAAATATATATAATTTATTTATTGCTTTAGTAAAAAGAAATAAAGAAAAAAAGTATGATATAATATAGCATACAGACCGGATAATTAAAATAATTAAATATAACATAACTAATTATCATATTAAATATACAGTGTACATTCACATGCTCTGCTTGTGTGCAAAATGTTTGGTTTTTAAACACATTTGTTCTTTGATCCCAATCGACAGATCAATATGCCATTTTGATTAATATTAGTCGACGCGATGATTGGTAAATCGTTAATTCTGATTGACAGCTATGTAAAGAAATAACAAACGCGAGTTAGCTTTCTGGAAGCCCTACTGAATTTGAGGTTCGCTCTCTGGGTCCGCTTTGGGTTCTCTCGGGGTTCGCTATGGGTGCGCTTTGGGTGCGCTCCGAGTTCGCTCGGGGTCAGCCCTAGCGGACCCAGAGCGATTCCGAAGCGGACCGAGTGCGCTCCGGGTTCGCTTTCTGTCAGGCTGTGTCCATTCAGTACTGTAAGAAGCTTGAGTGTACCAATAGTATAATTGATTTTTTGTATTTTTCGATTGGTATGTTTAATACATTGACAAGTGTTTTGAAGCACCCATTTGGAGTGTTGCCCTTTGTAACTATTTCCAAAGACATTCACAAATCGCTAGCAAACCAATAGAAACTTATATCGTATCTATAATTTTATTGATATGTAATATTGGTGTCTAACAATCTTGGTACTATCTATTACTACATGAATTATGTGGAGATAACGAACAGAATTAAATCTCAAAGTCCATAAAACAATACAAAACAAGAGCAGAGCAAACACGGACCTCCAAAACATCAGAGGTGGGATCAGGTGCCATGAAGGAGTGAGCATCCCATCCAGACCAGTCACACCCGCCGTGTGCTAATTGTCATGATCATGAAATAAAAATAAAAAATCCGTCGTCAATTCTGTGTTTAAATAATGGATTAACAATTCGTATAAAAAACGTCAGTCAGCATTTGACTCAGTGATAAATTGTATTTGCCGACAAGGTCATTGTATCGACCATAGAACTTACGAAATCATGTCTTCAAACGAGACTGCTGATATTCTTGTTTCCTTCAACTTGCTTGTCAATAATTTATCTCGTTTTAGAAATTGTTCATACGCAGAGCATGCTCTGAAGTATCGAATCAACTGAGATATATATACTACGTATGCAGGTGATGAAAGTATATAGCTGCATAAGTAAGGGAAGTTGACGATAGAAAAGTTAAAGTCATCACCTTTTCTCATATAGCTTGGTTGTTTGATTACCATTAGTGCCTTTTTTAAGTAGAATATCCAAGAATGAAGCAGAAATGTCAGATTTTGTGGCATCTTTTATACATAAAATTGATAGAAGGTATAACAATATAAAAAAACATAATACCAAATAAGTGGGGGTTTCTTTTTAACAAATTTACCTGTATATTGTACCTGTTTGTATCATTTTTCACAGCAGATGCAGCTTCTTTGTCATCTTCAAGCAGCAGAGACAAAATGATAACTGTGATGGACTTTGCCGGACAAAGTGCATATTACGCATGTCATCAAGTTTATTTGACAAAGAGGGCAATTTATTTATTAGTCACAGACATGTCAAAATCTATGGAAGAAAAAGTTGGCCAACATGTCTGCGACGCTGATGGAACAATCTTTGCAGACTGGAAATACGGAGGTACGAAATATGTCATTGAATACCAAATTATTTACAGTTTAGTCTGAAAGTTAATGAATTTATGTAAAGGAATTATTCATTTGAAATGAACATGGAATCTCTTTTTTGTAAACTATATAATGTATCTGACAAAACTCTTGATCAGAAATTGATTGATTATAATTTTTACAGATTACATTAGTTTTTGGCTTCAGAGCATTCGGACATACTGCGGAGAGGAGATGTCAGTAGTTCTGGTGGCAACACACAAAGACAAACTTCAGGTAAATCTAAGTCATCGCCTGTCGAGCATTTTATATTGTAAACCTGTTTTTTTATTTAACGAACTGTCAGAATTCAGACCTCGTATATAAACATTGTCGGTTTCCAAAGGCAAAATATTTTGCGTTAATTGGAATGAATTGATGTAAGTGTTGTGGTTTTGCTATTTCACTTTGAAATGATCGGCTTCAAACAAAACAAAATTGAAGAATAAGGCTTCCAAGAGGGTTAAAATTAACACCAAGATATATTGATTACATATTAACAAGCTTATATTCAAGACTTATCAAGGTTAAGAGTGAGATTTTATCAAATCGAATAACGTCAAAGGGCAGAGTATTTTAAAGGGTTGATAATTGTGTACAATGTAATATATAGAGAGAATTGGTGCTAAGAATTATGACGAAGTTAATTTTACAGCAAAAAACATTTTTAGTCTACTTAATTTAAAAGTGAAAAATAATTGAAATTATATATCGGTATCTACTTGTATTTTAAAAGATTTTTTCTTTCCATTTAATTAATTTCAAGAAAAAAAAAAACTTAAAAATTATTCAGTCATTTAGATGTGTGTACTTATTAGATTCTCAACTGCGCTTTGTATTTTGATCAAGAAATCGGAAAAGAGCTTTTACGACGAAATTCTACATTCGTTTCCCAGAAATCAAACTCTGAAGAAACATTTGTCTACAAAGAGCTACTTTGAAGTTGAAGCGGCTCCTAAGGACAACGAAAAGATATTAGAAATTCAGAATCGTCTAATTGACCTCTTAACGTCAAATAATGAAGAGAAGTCCTACTCACACTGGGGGGAATTTATCCCATCGTTTTGGTTAACTGTTGAAAGAGAATTAGAACAAAACAGAGAAAAAGTCATGCGTGTGTCACAAATAAAAGACAGATTCAATTTAGAGCTTTCTGAAGCTTTTGATGGATACCTTGATCTATTTCGTCATTGTTGGTTTCAGTTAAAGGTTAAACTTCGAGTAGAAGTATCAAATGATATAATTAAAATTCGTGACATGCTACAGTTCTTTCATGAAATTGGATATATTCTCTTTTTCAATGAAACGAACTTAAATGAGGTAGTCATTCTAGATGTCCAGTGGTTTATTGATGCATTCAAATCATTAACCATGGATAAAAACCAAGTAGACGTAACAAAAGCTTCAAATAATTCAAACACAAAAACTCTAACTCTCAAGGACTGTTTCGAAACTACAAAAGATATGGATGAGTTCTACCAATCAGGAAAGCTGCCTTGTGAAATTCTGCAACAATTCTGGGAATCTCATGACGATAAAGATCTGCAAGAAAATAGTGGCTCTTTATTAAAATACATGGAACGTCTGGGCCTTCTAGCCACCGGAGAAATCTTTCATTACATTCCGTGTGTCAACAAAACGGATATAGATATTTCACAACTTGAGAGAATATCTTCAAAACAGCACAAGACATCAGTCATGCATTTCATATTCAAGCATTGCCTGCATCATTTCTTTTTCCAAAGAGTTGTTGTTGCTTGTATGCACAAATGGAAATACCTAGAAATAGATGGCAAAATTCAATTATTCAAAAACATTGTTTTGCTACAACACAAACAAAGGGGGAATGTCATTGTAATCGGCGTAAATAAAACAGCAATTCAGTTATTGGTATACAGCAATAGTACTTCGAGATCTCTGCGGCCCGCTGATACGTACAAAGTTCGAAATATTGTCGAACAAATCATATGTTCCGTTGTAAGTACATTTCACAGAGCCGTGAATTATGAAGTAGGATTCAGTTGTTTGGAGAATGAAAAAATAACGCAGGAATGTGAAGGGCAATTAATTTTAGAGAAGAATGCTGTCGCCTTTTCAAAGCTTGAGGAAGGACGCGAATGTGATTACCACACTGAAACACACTATATACATTGGAGTAAAATGGTCAAACATTGGGTAAGTTAAAATACTTTGCGTTTACTCTTAAGAGAGAGATTTATATAGGAGCTCCTAAGAATGTTTTTTTGTTAAGTTTTTATTTCAAATAACAAAAATTATACATTAAAAATATTTATCACATCATTTTAGAATAAAGATCAAGGTCTGAGATTAGGGTGCTTTTCAAGAGAGAGGAGAAATTCGACGGTAGAAGGTATCACCAGGGAGGTAAATTAAGAAAACTGCAAAAATAAATGATAGACAATATCCAAAGAAAATACATATACCCATCAAACCTTACTTTGTTTTATGAAATCCCCAAAACTTGCATGTTTATTTTCAAGATTTCTCATCAAACTTTCAAAAAATTATTTTCTTTTTTCTTTCAAGCTTAGGGTCATTATGAGCATGCTTTCCATACGAAGACACAAGTCCGCTAATGCAGATTATCACCAAAAATTTATTATACTTTGTTTTCGCAAGAGGGGAATTTGGTATTCATAAGCAAGACATAATTTTTGAGAACTTTGGTTATTGTTTTAAATCATATTTAGTGAAGGAAATATACATTTGAACAAGAGAATAACATTTTCCCCAGCAGGAAGTCTCATGTTATAACACAAAAATGAAGTACTAGCGAATGAAAATGATTTTTCAAAGGTGAAGAAGTAAGTTATTATGTAAAATTTGTAAAAATTCAGGGAATTTTAGTGTCATTTCATGAGTAGCAACACTCTCAATTTTTAACTGTAGAAACGACATATTTTAAGGCAGACGGACAGACGTCCTAATATCACCAATTCAGTCAGAGAAACTATAAGTCTTGAATCGCCTTTTTACTGAAATGTAAAAGAAATGCAACAAGCAGTTATCTACAAATGTTTGAATTTTTATCTGATGATTTTTCAAAAAAGAGTACAGAAAAGTTAAACTCACTTTTCAGAACATAAGAGAATTGTAAAAAGATGTAAAATGTTTATATTGTAACTTTACTACATGTATGTAACATATGACTGTTAAAACACCCTGCCCTCCCAGCCATTCAATTACAACGTGCAAGACTGCCCTAAACAACAATTGAAGGAATTATTCTTTGCAATTTTCAAATGCTTGTTTTTCAGATGATTAGGTCGAATTTTTGTCTAACTTAGAGCATTGTAGTAACTCTTGGAATTCCGGTCCAAGGACTATTATTTATGCATGTGATACGTAAGACCCCGTTGAGGCGTAATGTAGTGTATTTTTTTCATGAACAACTCTCCATCACCTGTACTTTGAGATTTTCCAGCTAGAGCAAGGGGAATGCGTACTTAAGCCGTTTTCAAGAAGCTTTAGCATCGTTCCGGGAAACGAAAAGAGACTTAATTTTTTGAAATATTGCAGCACTATTTAAGATGAGTAGTTCGAACCCTTTAAACTCCATAATATTGCCAAATGTTTTTTTATAAACATGCAGCTTTTAATGTCTGTAAAGCAGACTTAAAATTGGCTTCCGCTTATGGTATGAAAATCGTTCAACCGTTAAATTATCGATATTTACCAAATAGAAGGTATCGATAATTTTAAGAGACAAAATTATTTACTTTTTATAATTATTAATATTTCTCTCTGAAGTAGGGTGTTGCGTTTCTTTTGCTTTTCAGTATATTTCACTCTTTTAACAATGAAAACCGAAAGGCTAAGAATTTCAATTCGTGTCTTCAAATTTTTTATACAGTGTACTGGATTTGTTTATCGAATTAACCTTTTGAGAGATTCGTTGTTAATTTGAAAGTAAAAGCACTGTATGTTGATCGGGCAAAATTAAAAAAAGTGCTAATTTTTATTACGTCTCTGGTTTTTTATACATAACTCCTGATTGTAGAAGACTTGCACATGTATAATTTTGTTGTGCTGTCAAAACTTCCAAGAGCGCTAGTTGGGGCAGGAATGCACTGTATGTCAAAGTGACAATTGGCTTTTTTAATGTTATAGCAAATACTAACAGTTCAACACAAACAGAAGAAAAATGTAATAGAAAATTCAACGTGAAATTAGAAAGAACTTTGATGAAAAAAGTTTGATCATTACAGAACTTCCCTTTGCAAAACCTATTGTTAAGAAGTCATCAACACTAAAGCAATCCCATGGTGAAGGTTTGGAAATGAACAGATAGGATAAGTTTGTTTAGCGTTAAGAGATAATTTGATAAATTAAAAAAGTTTCCCTTTGAATGTTGAATATTTTGCTACATGTAACATTTGAATGATAAAGTTTCCATGAAAATGACCACTTAAAAGCCATAAAAACACAACATGTGATTATTTAATCAATTAGTAATTAGAATGACAATGAACATTAACAATGATTTAAAATTTTCAGTAAGATCTATTTTAAAATTGTGTCTAATCAACGGTGATAAAGATTCATAATGATTTTTTACAATGCTGAAATATACTGAAATACTGAAATTGACTTTGACGCATTTCATAAATATTGGCAATAAAACATGTCCTTTACATCGTTTCATATTTTTAATTAACTGTATTTATTACATTTTTTTTGGCTTTGAAAATGGCACTCTAGAAGAAAAAAAAATCTTATATTATTAACTTTACTTCAAGATTGTCGTTGTAGGAGTTGCCCGATAAAAATTATACGGCTTTTTAAAGGTAAATCCATCTAATTTTATTCTAAAGTATTTTGTATTAATAACAAATGTAGCCGACAATAAAAAAATAGAATGTTGCAGTGTTCCTCTGCATTTTTAAGGTGCCTAACAATATTAATCATTCAAAGTGCAGTTTTTGTTTTAGAATAAGACACAAAGTAACTATTCTTCGCAGTCATGTTTTCAACAATCCGCACGGTGAAAATGACCCCAGGCCATAATTTCTACAAAAAGTAGTAATTTTTCTACGTAGAATATCTTAACCTGGGGTCAAAGTTCAAGGTAAAAAATGACCTCAAATGACCTCAGGTCAATTTTTACGGGGAAATTTCTCCCCATTACACTGGCGGCGAATTCTTACTTTTTATAATGGCGCCGTTTCTGGCGTCAAATGTCAAAATCCTTTTAAAAAAGCCTGAAAAATATAAAATAATTTATATTAGTGTCAAGGGACTCTCAGCCTATCTTTTAATTTTAACAGTGAAACTGGTCAAAAAACTCGGATTTGAGATAAATCGGTTCATGATACAATACTTTATATATATTGCAGAAATCTTTTTATGAAACATCTTACACATAATTGTGTTTAATTGCAGGCGCAAACAGAGAATACAAAACCACTTTTGGAAAATGAAGAAAGACACGTTTATATCAGTGAGTCTTAGTTTTAGTTCACCTGAGCCGAAGTGAGCTTTTCTGATCTAGATTTGTCCGTTGTTTGTCGTCGTTGTTGTTGTCGTTATTTTTCCACATTTTCGACTTCTTCTGAAGAACCACTGGGTCGATTTCAACCAAATTTGGCACAAAGTATTCTTATGTGAAAGGAATTTGAGTCAAATGAAGGACCATGCCTTGATTCAATGGGGAGATAATTATGAAATAATGAAAATTTAATTTCATTTTTTTTAAATCTTCTCAAGAACAACGCGCAATGGGCCAGGAAATATGAAACAGGGAAGCATCCTCGGGTAGTGTAGATTCAGGTTTGTTCAAATCATGATCCCGGGGGTAGGGCGGGGTCACAATGACCAATCAAAGTTTTACATAGAGGTTTTCTTCTCAAGAATAGCACAGGCATGAATAATCATATCTTTATTGAAGGATCTTCAGGTAGTGGAGATTCAATTTTGTTTAATTAATGTACCCTGCGGTAGGGCCGGGCTTCAATGGCTTATCAAACTTATACATAGAAATATATAGAAAAATTATTTAAAATCTTTCTCTAAAGAATGGCAAAGGCGTGAATGATCATATTAATATGGAAGCGTCCTCAGGTAGTGTAGATTCAGGTTTGTTCAAATTATGACCCCTAGAGGTATGGCCGGGATTCAATGGTGGATCAAAGTTTTACATAGAAATATATTGGAAAATTCTTTAAAAATCTTTTTTTCAAGAAAAGCAAACGCGTGAATGATCATAATTATATTGAAGCATCTTGCATCTTGGTGTAGATTCGGGTTTGTTCCAATCATGACCCCCAGGGGTAGGGCGGGTTCACAATGGCAAATCAAATTATAAAAAAATAGAAAAATGTAGAAAAATTCTTTAAAAATCTTCTCAAGAATAGAAAAGGCATGACTGATACTTATATGGAAGTATCCTCGAGTTTCAAGTTTGATCAAATTATGACTGATTTCTGCTTTTTTCCTAGCCACATTGCTCAGGTGAGCGATTTGGCCCATATTTCTCTTGTAAGTAGTTTCCGACTACCATTTATGCTAAGTATTTATTATTAAGGTTTCTGTTTTTATTATATGATAGAATTTATGTTAATGCAATAAGTATTTTGTGTTGCCACCTTTGTGACGTTTAATAATTTGTTTGAAATTCTCAAAAGCATTATTAACAATGACATATAATTTTTTAGCAGACACAAGATATCAAGATGAGAAATACCAATTTTGTAAAGGAAGATAATCCAAATTTATAGTAATTACAATTTAGATTTAACAGAAAAAAATGAAAATTGGTCTGAAAACGTTAAAACATAAATTTAAACAACAAACACCAAAAGCGGAGGCGGAGTTGAAGGCGGTAGATAACAAACTTTGAAAAAAAAACATCCGTCCTCCAAGGATGTAGATGGGGAAAAAAGGCAGAGTAACGCACCTCGAAGTTAGAATTTCAATTCTTAGATTTTGATTGGTCAATCTCTGCCTCTCATACCTCGTTAAGACATGAAACAAAATTACCATTACAAAGCACAGGAAAACAATT